CTTTCAACTCAATATTGAAAAAATGGGTTGACAAAGAACTCATTAAGGTTCAAAAATAGGAATTTTGTTTTAGTACCAAGTCCGTGGCAATTGACGATATAAAACAAGAGTCTTTAAAAAACGTTGGCGAATGTTGCATTACTTACTTCAGTTGTGTTTCATTGTTTTGTGTTAAATTTTTTTTCTTTCTCAACCATTTTCCCCAATCAAGACAGTCTTCACATGAAATTGGATATCACAGACAATTATTAGAAGTTTTCATGTTAAAAAATCCCAAAAAAAACCTTTAGTTGGATTTGAGCTGCTTCAAAAACATTATACGCCAACAGCATCCAAAACATGCATCCTTCAACCGTGCACGAGGTATGCTATTACTGTCTGGAACAAACCTGGGTACAATCCGACTGAAATCTAAAACGAACTCATCCAAACTAAAGTTACAATTTATACTTTTCAAGTGAAACCACAGGGACAGAGTGAGTCATCAGTAATGGTAGAGAAAACAAGTTTTTTGAACCTTTTATAAAAATGGACTCAAACGTTTTCAAAAGTGTTGATAATAAATTATCATAATTTAGTTTGCTCCCCGCCGAAATCTTTACGTATCAAAAGCTTAGAGCGATTCTAATGCAACAAAGCTTGCGGTTGAAGATGTCACTTGATTGAATGAGTTCATTTTTTCAACACTGTCGATGAATCTGTTTTCTTGAGCATCATAACTTGAACATATCATATTTCTTTAGCATATCAGAGACGTTTCCCTCGTCCTCCAAAAACGTCTCAATGAAGAGTTCTGCGTCGATCAGTTAAGGTTTTCAAATTCACAAGGGAGGACGTATGCCCCTCCGTGTCCATATGTTCACCCCTGTAAAAAGTGATTCAGAATCGAGATGTGTGAGAAAACCACACCTCTAACTCTATCTTACTTCGCCACTTTATATAAAAAGTATAAATATAAAATTGAATTGAATTATTGAAAACTAAGCTACTATAATCATTACAAGCTTTAAAGTTGTCAAAGGTGGTGAACAGATGTCATTTCATAACAATTTTTTCAAATTAGTTTTGTTTTTAACCTGTGTTTCTTTTGGAATTGTGAGCGACTCAATCCAATTTCTAATACAGTAAATAATTCCTGAAAATTATCGAGAGAAACCGAATCAATCAACTCAGGTTTTGGCTTTTTTAAAAGAGAAATGTAGTTTGATTCAGAAATGTATATAGTTATTCTCTTAGCTTTGATAGTTATTCTCTTATTTCATCTAAGGTATGGAGTTTCATCTCTTTCGTCAATCCAAAAGAGGTCTCGTATTTCTTGATGAGGAAAATGATCCTCACCCTCTTGATTCTGGTCAACCACAACGTCGACCTTGACTCCTCTTGTAAAAATTAACCATCCATTATCGAGACACTTCCTGACAACCATGACCAGAAGAAGCAGTAGAAACAGCGTCATGACACACATAGACACAGCAAATGTCCATTGTTCGGTCAGGTCATCGGATTCGTCCGCTGGCTGCGCTGTTTTGATGAAGAAGTTCATCTCGGTTAGTCTGAAGACTTCGTTCCAAAAGTGGGCAGCTTTGATTTGTGATTCGAACTGGACAAATGCTTCCGAAATGGAAATGTTTCCTGTCAGTGCTATGTCGAGCAGACAAGCTGAGTCCCCCTTGCAGACCTAGCAAGATACAGAAAACGGATCTCCTTAATTACTCTCCTCCCCCTTATGGGGTACCTTGTAACGAAATGTCACTCCTATTAAATACTAATTCAACGGCTAATCATATTTGAATTTTGTACATTGTTGCGAAGCCCCCTTTTATAATATAGCTGACAAAATCCCAGAAAACTATAAGAAAAATGGCTGGGTATGAGATGCGCATTCATTCTTATAACATCAAAAAAAACGGAACTAAAGGAAACTTTTTAACCTTCTTTCAAATTTTAAAAAGCGTACCGAGTTGCAAAGCTCGAAATTTGTACAACGAGTTCGTGTCAGGACACTTGTGTTCCAGACATTTATGTCCCGGCAAAAACAGTCCAAAATGCGAAAAGTGTCCCAGACATTTGGTTCCCAGACAAAATTGTCCCAAAATTGTGCAGGCTATTGCCACACTAGTTAATGACCGGATTAATTTGATAAGCTCTCAATAGGAAGGATTAAATCGATAAGGCCACGCAACTGAGCACTTAGACCAGAAATTACTTCTAATTTTAAAAAAGCCTTCATCTTCGATTAAAAATCCAATTCTTTGTTATAAAGTGTTGAATTTATTTTCAGGGAGGAATTTAACTACAACCTTGTGGCTAGTTCAGTTTTTTAAAAAATTTTTGGAATTTCAATAATCTCCTTTTTTAAATGTAACTCGCCTCATTAGCTTCGAGTTGCAGCTGCTCATTCGTAAAAAGCTGCTCATAAATCGGCTCAAATGGAGACCCCTCGGCAATATCATTCTCGATGGAAGAGACAATATCCATCTGTTTAAAGAGCCACTCATCTGGATCCACAACCCAGCTGGTTCCGAAAGCTTCGTGAAGATACGCGTAGTCTGTAGTGTTGGTCACAATCACACCTTCTGAAAAATAAACAAAAATGTAGATTGGCTGAAAGTAGAAAAAGACTTCAAATTGAGGACTGCCGTGCTCTGTTTGTGGTGCTACTTTAGGACAGCCATTTTTGCCAAACGAGCCATAAATATTTTCTACGGGCGTCTTTGGAGCCATGCAAAAAAGGGTCAGAATTCGTAAAGGCTCAAAAAAACTCAAAATGGCTGGCCTTAAAAAGAAAGCCCGAAAAGTTTTTGCCCTCTCCGCAAAAAATTTCTTGCGCACGCCACTGATAATGACTTTCGTTTGAAGTATTTTAACAGTTGAAAATTTGAGTACTTCGACGCATACTGAATTGAAAATGTAACCAACCAGGGGTTTGGAAATCGTTGTCTGGGTCTCCGTCGTAATATCCCAGGAGTCCCCTCATCTGAAACTTGAACGAGGGCGGAACTGAGATCTTCAGGTTGAGGAAGTTCTGAATTACATACACTTCCACAATCAACATATTCCCCAAAAACTGAAATCGAACACTTTTCAAATCATCTCTCTCTTCCACTGCAACATTGGCCAGGATATATTCCCCGACACTTTCTCCCAGTGTCTTCTCGAAGTTGTTAATCACTAATTTAACTTTTGCAATCTTGTCAACGTAGACTTCTAGGAGAGTGTTTCCGTGTTTGACTGCTATCCCGCTGAACACAGTCCCGTTGCCGACCCTCCGCATGCTCGCCTGCAGTTCAGTCTGACCCCCGATTGAAGGTGAATCATCAGCGATAAGCATCCTGTAGACGCCCAGCCCCATGAAGGGGTAGCTGACTCCGTCCACTGTCTGCAAGTGGGGGTCTCCTCTGTTTATGAGGATGTTACGAGGCCAGTACTCGCCGATGATAGTCGGGCGGTGTTTTTTGAATATGTTATCGCATTTGAATTGAGGCGATTGACGACAACACTCGTAAAATGGTTTCAGGTCGCTTGTGTAATGCCGAATCATATTGTCAATTGAACCAACTTCTCGTTGCATACAACCCGCAGAATTTGAACTTTCTATTAATTCGTCGGTTGTTCCATTGTAACAACACTGATTTGAAACCATAATCGATTCCTCGCGGCTTTCCATAATTCCATTTAGTTCAACTCTAGTTGTAGCTGTACAAGCTAGTCGAGGTGATCGTATGCAAAATCCAGGCTTTTTATCTCGAGTGCCTTTGAATTCACATAGGTCCTTTTTGCAAAAACCAATCGAATCAAGTTTTTCACTCACTTCCAAATCGGAATTTCCGCAGCACAAATCGTATTGCCAGCCGTTCATTCCGTTTCGAACTTCCTCGTGTGCCCACCAAGCATCAGTTCCGGCTCTAATAAGGGATGTGCTTCGGAACTTACAACCTTGCTTTGAAAACTAAGCTAAGCATTTGAGTACGTTTCTAGTTCATGTGATTATCACCAACGCATTTTGAAGTGCCACATTATTTCGCGCTCGAAACCGTCGAGCGCTGTTGTTTTTCGATGATGTCGGTCAAAAATTAGATGACTTTCATTGAGTTTATGGAAAAGAGTAGAGTATGATCTCGATGATACCGTAACTCCGACTTTCACAACTTTGAATTTCCACGTGTTTACTGTAGAAATAAAGGTATTATGTGCTTGTTAGGTTAGGAATGGGCCTGGTGTGATTGTTATAAGTGTGATTGTTAAAAGTTTTGAGCCAAAATTTCGGCTTTTTTTTCTGCACTTGATTGTCGGCTTTGTTTCCGTCGGCTCATTTTCTGAAGGATTCTTTTTCAATTACTTGTTATTGGTTTTCATAAGAATGATCGAAGTCTCACAAACTGTTTTAGACAAATCAAAATCATTTTCTCACACCCTTCCTGATAAAAGTGAAAACCTTAAAAGGAAAAAAAAATTTATATTTGATTTTTTTTTGAAATTTTTGTTTGTAAATAGCTTTGATTTTATCTTTTTATGCTTTTATTTGTTTAATCAGCTGTTTTAATCATTTTTTTCTGGTGTACGTAATTGTGTTTAGGTGTTTTTGCATTTTTTTCAAAACTTTGCAAAGTTCCTCGACAACAATTAGAAATATGCATCCAATATTTTTAGCCCCTTTTGATTTAAACAATAACTGTTTCAGTTTATGAAAGAAGAATCAAGCAAGCCCGAATTGCCAGCAACTCAGAAACAAATAAATTCAAAATTTTTGAAAACTTTTGAATTCAAAAAGGCTACTCCAGTTCTTCGTTTTGCTATTTCAATTAGAGTTTTTTATTTCCTCCGGTTTTGCGTATTTTCATTGTGTTATGATGATAAAAACTGGATACCAGCAAGCTTCAAGTGTAATTGATTATAGATGTTCAATATCAAAATTTTTGATAATTTTGTTCAGAATAGCAAGACTAATTTCTTTTTATTCCTGTTTTTGTTCGCATTATTGTATTAACTTTTTCTCACATTTAGTTAATTTGAACCAGTTTTTGGGCTGCATTATTGTAAAAAACAGTTTTATGGCATAATTTTTTAACAAATGTTTTAATAGTTTCTCGATTATTTTTTCGTAAACCGTTTTTCAGTCAACCTGTTTGTCTTCTCTAATCGGACTTTTTTGAAAAAGTGAAACGGTGTTTTTTTTGGCTTCATTGTTGTTCAAAATCAATTGCTTTTTAAAAACCGTGTCCAATTCATGTGTTCTTGTTCCATTCGTTTTATCTCTGATCTATTTTTTTGTTGAACTCGCTAAAAAGCTTTAAATTTTTAAATCGTTTCGAAGTTGGTTTTCGAAATTTTTTGCAAAACTCTCATTTTCAATAGTGTTGTGTTTTTAGAACAGTTTTATATTTTTTTCCAGAGCACATTTGTTGATTTCCTATTCTTGTTTTTGGCTTTTGAAAAACTGAATATTGTTTATTGGTATTTATAAGTCTTTCATTAACCGATTTGAAAAGTAAATCAGATTTAGTGAAGTTTGGTACTTTCATCCTTGTAGTCTACCAGCACAATTTTCCAATAAGTCAAAAACGTGTCCTCGGAATAGCAGGTAGGCCTGAAAACTATGTTGGAGGTCGGCTGTTTTTGATGATAAAAAATATTAAAAAAGCAATTGCAACAACTTTGTCATGTTTTTTGTGTCTTTCTTACTATAAAGTTACATCGCAAGTTTTGCAAAACTCTGTTACATCTCTGTGTTCAAATTAGGATTTTTTCACTTGTCTAAAAGTAAAAACAAAACCACTGCGATTTGGAATTGCTCAAAGTATCAAACTCTTAAATGCCGTGAAAAGTGTACTGAAACGATAGGTGAGCATAAACATGAAACTTCTGCGGGAAAACCTGATGCTCGACTAGTTTCAAAAAACAGCAAGGATCTGAACGAGACTAATACCACGATGGTTGCAGTCGCCACACCTCAATTCAGCCCATAACAGGAGATATTCTCAATCAATATGCGCAAACAACTAAAGAAATCTTAGTTCGAACTGCACAACGCATGCACAAGCAATGGGAAAATTAGTAAAAGCATTGTCCCCGGCAACCAGCAATTTACAACTACCCAAGCTATTTGAAAACTTCGTAACATTTGCAATGAACAAAAAAATCAAGAAAAAATTATTTTATTTTTCGACCGGGAAATGCTTCGTGTGCTCAAAAAATCATCATTTCAGTTGGCTAACGGAACTTTCAAAGTCACTGCTAAAAATTTTTAACAACTTACTCTATAGATACTAGTCTTTCAGGGATAGCCCCTACTTGCATTTAAGCTTTCTTAAAAAAAAACGGAAGAAACTAACATTACTTAGATGCCCTAAAAATGTAAATCCTGACAGAAGACTTGAAACAATTATGAGCAGGCCGCTTCGCAGAATCCAAATGTGTCTGGATGTTTTTTTTCATCTTTTCAAGTTGTCTGGAACTTTTTCTTCTATCTCAGAAAAAATATTTAAAAATTGCTGATATTGAACTGAAATTGGAGTAAAACTTAAACCACAGGTTTGAATTAGCACTTAAATGTATTATTCCCTGGCTTCTGAATCAGAAGAAAAAATATGAGCGTCGTACGATAAAATTTACAAAAAAGTTCAAATAGTATGCCATTGCACCAAAAAATAGTCGGAAAAATTGCAAAAATTGACAAGCACTGCTTTTATTTTGGTTGTAATTACATAAAAGGTCTCATCTCGAAACGAGCAGTCCTATTCTAATTTAAAAAAAGCCTTCATCTTCGTTTTAAAATCCAATTCCTTGTTATGCAGCGTTGAATTTATTTTCAAGGAGGAATTTAACTACAACCTCAGGGGAGGATCTAGGATTTTCTCGAGGGGGGGGGATTTTCAAAAAATTTTCGACAAGTTTGACGACCTTTTTTTGTTTTTTTTTAGGTCGATCAGATTGATTTTCCGAGCTCTCCCAAAGCAGTAAAAAGACCCTTTGGGCACTTTTTGGGCACTTTTTGGAAAATGTTGACAAAAAAAACGCGTTTTTTTTTGGCGCGCGCTCCCCCTCAAAAGTAGTATATATTGGCGCCAAAGGCGACTTTAGAAAAATTTTAGGGTCGGTCGGCCAAAAATGGATTTCTTAAAAAGTACCAAAAGGGGGACCCTTTGGGTTGGCAGGGGTTCGAATCCCTGAGAAAGGGCGTCTGCCCCCAACAACCCCCCTCCCTAAATCCGCCCCTGTACAACCTTGTGGCTATTTCAGTTTTTTTAAAAATTTTTTTTGGAATTTCAATAATCTCCTTTTTGAAATGTAACTCGCCTCATAAGCTTCGAGTTGCAGCTGCTCATTCGTAAAAATTGGCTCATAAATCGGCTCAAATGGAGACCCCTCGGCAATATCATTCTCGATGGAAGAGACAATATCTCTCTGTTTAAAGAGCCACTCATCTGGATCCACAAACCAGCTGGTTCCGAAAGCTCTGTGAAGATACGCGTAGTCTGTAGTGTTGGTCACAATCACGCCTTCTGAAAAATAAACAAAAATGTAGATTGGCTGAAAGTAGAAAAAGGCTTCAAATTGAGGACTGCCGTGCTTTGTTTGAGGTGCTACTTTCGGACAGCCATTTTTGCCAAACGAGCCCTAAATATTTTCTACGGGCGTCTTTGGAGCGATGCAAAAAAGGCTCGGAATTCGTTAAGGCCCCAAAAAAACTCAAAATGACATTTGGAATTGCTCAATTCAATATCAGCCAGGGAATCTAAACCGCATATAGCAGCATACATGTTATTTCGTTTTGTTTGCAAACGTTTTTGCAAATAAAGCTCTGTTGTTTTCCGACTTTGTGGTTCCGAATCTTTTTCAAGTAAGTTTCACTTTGGTTCTAACAATTGGTATAAGGTAGGTGTTAAATTATAGTGGGGTTATCTAATTGTGGTGTTATATGAGAGGGGTTAAGAAAATGGGGTTGAAAAACGCAGGGTGAGAAGCTTAAGAATCCTCATATTTGTAATATTAAAAAAGCAAAATAAGTTTTTTGCCCTGCTAGGAACGCTGAATATTTCTAAAAAAGTTATCCTTCCAAAAAACCTGAAAAAGTGAAAAATTAGACATTTAAAAAACGTTTTGAGAATTTTTTATTCAGTGGCTAGTAGTTTGTTTGCGAGACAAATTTCGACTTCGAAACCCCGAATTTTGACCCACTACTACCAAATAAAAGTTCTTGTTTGAAAAACTGATGAAAAAATTGAAAAAGGAAATTTTTTCGTGTTTTTCCTCATTGTCATCCCATACTCCTATGAAGTACGATGGCATGCTTTAAGCGTCTAATCGGATTCGTTCTATGCAAGACTTCAAACTAGAAGTATAACACGAGTGTAGGGGAAAATGAAATAGGTGAAATTGGGACGTAGGGCAGAGTGGCCCAGTGTGAATAGACATAAGGTAAATTGGAATAGAGCGAGTTGGACGAATCGTCGCCTAACCTAACAATAAAGCCACATGACTCGCCTTAAGGGTATTTAAAATTTTACGTCAAAAACACTAGGTTAGAAAAATCGAAAATTGGCTGAAAAAAAAAACAACCAGCTAAAGCATAAATGGTCCTTCATCTTTTCGGAAATCAGAGCAACCACTAAAAAACCTACTAGAAAAATCAGAGCAACCACTAGAATGGCAACAATCTTTTTCGCAAAAAGTTAAATATGCTGCTTCAGTTGATAGAAGAATACGCAAAAACGATTGTGTAAGTTTCAAAACGCACTGAAAAAGCTTCAATCTCGGTGGAACAAAGTTTGCAGTACAGAAAATGACTGAAAGTGAAGCACATCCCTGTTAGGACAAGGGTACCACTTTAAGGATAAACTTGACTTATTTTGTGTTTAAACTATCAAAGGTTTATAGTTTGCATCCATTTCAAATCCAATTCAGATAGTAAGATGTACTTAGGGCTCAAATTATTCTGAATAAATGTGATTTTTGCACAAAGGTTCTATCAGTTTCCCTCGTCCTCCAAAAACTTCTCAATGAAGAGTTCTGCGTCGATCAGTTAAGGTTTTCAAATTCACAAGGGAGGACGTATGCCCTTCCGTGTCCATATGTTCACCCCTGTAAAAAGTGATTCAGAATCGAGATGTGTGAGAAAACCAACCTCTAACTCTATCTTACTTCGCCATTTTATATAAAAAGTATAAAAAAAATTGAATTGAATTATAGAAAACTAAGCAACTATAATCCTTGCAAGCTTTAAAGTCTTCAAAGGTGGCGAACAGATGTCATTTCATAACAATTTTTTCAAGTTAATTTTATTTTTAACCTATTTTTTTTGGAATTGTGAGCGACTCAATACAACTTCTATTACAGTAAAATAAGTCCTATAAAATTATCGAGAGAAATCGGCTCAATTTCTTCTAACAAAAGACTTGCATTGAATCAATCAACTCAGGTTTTGGCTTTTTTAAAAAAAAAATTTAGCTTGATTCAGAAATGTATATAGTTATTCTCTTAGCTTCGATAGTTATTCTCTTATTTCATCTAAGGTATGGAGTTTCATCTCTTTCGTCAATCCAAAAGAGGGCTCGTACTTCTTGATGAGGAAAATGATCCTCACCCTCCTGATTCTGGTTAACCACAACGTCGACCTTGACTCCTCTTGTAAAAATTAACCATCCATTATCGAGACACTTCCTGAAAACCATGACCAGAAGAAGCAGTAGAAACAGCGTCATGACACACATAGACACAGCAAATGTCCATTTTTCGGTCAGGTCATCGGATTCGTCCGCTGGCTGCGCTGTTTTGATGAAGAAGTTCTTCTCGGTTAGTCTAAAGACTTCGTTCCAAAAGTGGGCAGCTTTGATTTGTGATTCGAACTGGACAAATGCTTCCGAAATGGAAACGTTTCCTGTCAGTGCTATGTCGAGCAGCTGAGTCCCCCTTGCAGACCTAGCAAGATACAGAAAACGGATCTCCTTAATTATTCCCCTTCCCCCTATGGTACCTTGTAACGAAATGCCACTCCTATAAAATACTAATTCAACGGCTAGGCATATTTGATTTTTGTACGTTATTGCGAAGCCCCCTTTTATAATATAGCTGACAAGATCCCAGAAAACTATTAGAAAAATGGCTGGGTATTAGATGCGCAGTCATTCTTAAAACATCGAAAAAAAAACGAAACTAAAGGAAACTTTTTAACCTTCTTTAAAATTTTAAAAAGCGTACCGAAATGCAAAGCTCGAAATTTGTACAACGAGATATAATATCACAAGTTAGTCTCATATAAGTTTGGACGGAAATTACTTCTAATTTTAAAAAAGCCTTCATCTTCGATTGAAAATCCAATTTCTTGTTATGCAGTGTTGAATTTATTTTCAAGGAGGAATTAAACGACAACCTTGTGGCTGAATTTTGAAGGTGAATCATCAGTGATAAGCATCCTGTAGACGCCCAGCCCCATGAAGGGGTAGCTGACTCCGTCCACTGTCTGCAAGTGGGGGTCTCCTCTGTTTATGAGGATGTTACGAGGCCAGTACTCGCCGATGATAGTCGGGCGGTGTTTTTTGAATATGTTATCGCATTTGAATTGAGGCGATTGACGACAACACTCGTAAAATGGTTTCAGGTAGCTTGTGTAATGCCGAATCATATTGTCAATTGAACCAACTTCTCGTTGCATACAACCCGCAGAATTTGAACTTTCTATTAATTCGTCGGTTGTTCCATTGTAACAACACTGATTTGAAACCATAATCGATTCCTCGCGGCTTTCCATAATTCCATTTAGTTCAACTCTAGTTGTAGCTGTACAAGCTAGTCGAGGTGATCGAATGCAAAATCCAGGCTTTTTATCTCGAGTGCCTTTGAATTCACATAGGTCTTTTTTGCAAAAACCAATCGAATCAAGTTTTTCACTCACTTCCAAATCGGAATTTCCGCAGCACAAATCGTATTGCCAGCCGTTCATTCCGTTTCGAACTTCCTCGTGTGCCCACCAAGCATCAGTTCCGGCTCTAATAAGGGATGTGCTTCGGAACTTACAACCTTGCTTTGAAAACTAAGCTAAGCATTTGAGTACGTTTCTAGTTCATGTGATTATCACCAACGCATTTTGAAGTGCCACATTATTTCGCGCTCGAAACCGTCGAGCGCTGTTGTTTTAAAAACTGGATACCAGCAAGCTTCAATTGTAATTGATTATAGATGTTCAATATCAAAATTTTTGATAATTTTGTTCAGAATAGCAAGACTAATTTCTTTTTATTCCTGTTTTTGTTCGCATTATTGTATTAACTTTTTCTCACATTTAGTTAATTTGAACCAGTTTTTGGGCTGCATTATTGTAAAAAACAGTTTTATGGCATAATTTTTTAACAAATGTTTTAATAGTTTCTCGATGATTTTTTCGTAAACCGTTTTTCAGTCAACTTGTTTGTCTTCTCTAATCGGACTTTTTTGAAGCGTTTTTTTTTGGCTTCATTGTTGTTCAAAATCAATGAAGCCAATGAAGTTCTAATCGGACTTCTCTAAGCGTTTTTTTGGCTTCATTGTTGTTCAAAATCAATTGCTTTTCAAAAACCGTGTCTAATTCATGTGTTCTTGTTGCATTCGTTTTATCTCTGATCTATTTTTTTGTTGAACTCGCTAAAAAGCTTTAAATTTTTAAATCGTTTCGAAGTTGGTTTTCGAAACTTTTTGCAAAAATCTCATTTTCAATAGTGTTGTGTTTTTTAGAACAGTTTTATATTTTTTTCAGAGCACATTTGTTGATTTCCTATTCTTGTTTTTGGCTTTTGAAAAACTGAATATTGTTTATTGGTATTTATAAGTTTTTCATTAACCGATTTGAAAAGTAAATCAGATTTAGTGAAGTTTGGTACTTTCATCATTGTAGTCTACCAGCACAATTTTCCAATAATTCAAAAACGTGTCCTCGGAATAGCAGGTAGGCCTGAAAACTATGTTGGAGGTCGGCTGTTTTTGATGATAAAAATATAAAAAAACAAATGCAACAACTTTGTCATGTTTTTTGTGTCTTTCTTACTATAAAGTTGCATCGCAAGTTTTGCAAAACTCTGTTAGATCTCTGTGTTCAAATTAGGATTTTTTCACTTGTCTAAATGTAAAAACAAAACCACTGCGAACTGGAATTGCTCAAAGTATCAAACTCTTAAATGCCGTGAAAAGTGTACTGAAACGATAAGTGAGCATAAACATGAAACTTCTGCTGGAAAACCTGATGCTCGAATAGTTTCAAAAAACAGCAAGGATCTGAACGAGACTAATACCACGATGGTTGCAGTCGCCACTGCAATTCAGCCCATAACAGGAGATATTCTGACTCAATATGCGCAAACAACCAAAGAAATCTTAGTTCGAACTGCACAACGCATGCACAAGCAATGGGGAAATTAGTAAAAGCATTGTCCCCGGCAACCAGCAATTTACAACTACCCAAGCTATTTGAAAACTTCGTAACATTTGCAATGAACAAAATAATCAAGAAAATATTATTTTATTTTCGACAGGGAAATGCTTCGTGTGCTCAAAAAATCATCATTTCAGTTGGCTAACGGAACTTTCAAAGTCACTGCTAAAACATTTTATCAACTTACTCTATAGATACTAGTCTTTCAGGGATAGCCCCTACTTGCATTTAAGCTTTCTTACAGAAAAAACGGAAGAAACTAACATTACTTAGATGCCCTAAAAATGTAAATCCTGACAGAAGACTTGAAACAATTATGAGCAGGCCGCTTCGCAGAATCCAAATGTGTCTGGATGTTTTTTTTTCATCTTTTCAAGTTGTCTGCAACTTTTTCTTCTATCTCAGAAAAAAAATTTAAAAATTGCTGATATTGAATTGAAATTGGAGTAAAACTTAAACCACAGGTTTGAATTAGCACTTAAATGTATTATTCCCTGGCTTCTGAATCAGAAGAAAAAATATGAGCGTCGTACGATAAAATTTACAAAAAAGTTCAAATAGTATGCCATTGCACCAAAAAATAGTCGGAAAAATTGCAAAAATTGACAAGCACTGCTTTTATTTTGGTTGTTATTACATAAAAGGTCTCATCTCGAATCGAGCAGTCCTATTCCTTTTCTCATTTTGGAATCAAAAAGGTGCTGCAACCTCTGGTTCGGCCAGAACCACAAACGCTGTAGGGTGCTGGAAATATGGCGTAGAGTCAATTTTCAGTGGTTCGCATCCCAGTATATGAAAAGTAATTGCAAACTTCCAACAAAACGCATCGCTTCAAATACTCAATTTCTTTTACGCCTACAGTGGTAACCAATTTACAAAAAATAAAAAAAATGGGCCTGTAACAAAAGAAACAGAATCATATGAATTTCTACGAAGTGAAAATTGATTTTCATATCTTTCGCGCTCTGGCGATTTTAAGCGAAAAAATTTTCATTTGTTCTCTGTATAATCGTTTTGATGATTTTTTTTGTCAATTTTTTTGAGAAAAAACGTTTTCATGCAGCCTTCCGGAGATGCAAAGAACGCACAGTCTTCTGCCGCATTTAAAAAATGGTGTCTCTAGCAGTTTAATCCCTGAGGGATCGCTCTTTTGGTGGGATGCTAGACTAGGAAAAGAGGTTGGCATTCTCTTTAGACAATGCTTAATAGGACGTCAATTCAAAAAAAATTTGACAAATTTTAGATGGTTCGATAAATTGGTTACGTTTTTGTTAAAATTATTGGCTTTGAACATAACTTAGATTAGTTCAGCTTTTGGTCACAACCAGTTTTCCCTCTATATTTCAGATAAGTTCGACCAATTAATCTTCTATGATCGAGAACATTTTCAGGATCAGGTTCTTTTTTGGAAAAGTTTTATCATTATCGATTACTACTTTTATTCATGTTAATCGGATTAGTTCAAGTTCACATCAAAGTCTAGTCTATTGGCAAGGTCTTTTCTTTTCAAATGTTCAAGTCTAAACCGCATATAGCAGCATACATGTTATTTCGTTTTGTTTGCAAACGTTTTTGCAAATAAAGCTCTGTTGTTTTCCGACTTTGTGGTTCCGAATCTTTTTCAATTAAGTTTCACTCTGGTTCTAACAATTGGTATAAGGTAGGTGTTAAATTATAGTGGGGTTATCTAATTGTGGTGTTATATGAGAGGGGTTAAGAAAATGGGGTTGGAAAACGCAGGGTGAGAAGCTTAAGAATCCTCATATTTGTAATATTAAAAAAGCAAAATAAGTTTTTTGCCCTGCTAGGAACGCTGAATATTTCTAACAAGGTTATCCTTCCAAAAAACCTGAAAAAGTGAAAAATTAGGCATTTAAAAAACGTTTTGAGAGTTTTTTATTCAGTGGCTAGTAGTTTGTTTGCGAGACAAATTTCGACTTCGAAACCCCGAAGTTTGACCCACTACTACCAAATAAAAGTTCTTGTTTGCAAAACTGATGAAAAAATTGAAAAAGGAATTTTTTTCGTGTTTTTCCTCATTGTCATCCCATACTCCTATGAAGTACGATGGCATGTTTTAAGCGTCTAATCGGATTCGTTCTATGCAAGACTTCAAACTAGAAGTATAACACGAGTGTAGGGAAAAATGAAATAGGTGAAATTGGGACGTAGGGCAGAGTGGCCCAGTGTGAATAGACATAAGGTAAATTGGAATAGAGCGAGTTGGACGAATCGTCGCCTAACCTAACAATAAAGCCACTTGACTCGCCTTAAGGGTATTTAAAATTTTACGTCAAAAACACTAGGTTAGAAAAATCGAAAATTGGCTGAAAAAAAACAACCAGCTAAAGCATAAATGGTCCTTCATCTTTTCGGAAATCAGAGCAACCACTAGAATGGCAACAATCTTTTTCGCAAAAAGTTAAATATGCTGCTTCAGTTGATAGAAGAAATCACAAAAACGATTGTGTAAGTTTCAAAACGCACTGAAAAAGCTTCATTCTCGGTGGAACAAAGTTTGCAGTACAGAAAATGACTGAAAGTGAAGCACATCCCTGTTAGGACAAGGGTACCACTTTTCAAGTTCGCTGACACACCCCGAGTAGTCAATCAGTGATTCTGCATCGTTCCAAGTGTCACACTTAACATCACTCTCATCGTCGACTGACTTCAATGCGATGGGTAAAGATGCTCGGCATTCTAGAAGAAAAGAAACAAAAATTCTGAAACAGTTCTCTACTCTATGAGTTTAGCCCCCTTTTTTAAAAAGGGTTGCCAGTGGCTGTGCTCCGAAAAAAAATGTAAGAAGTTAACCACAATTTCAAAAACTTTTTTCACTAAAACATTGAGACAACTTTTTTGAAATCTGTTTGTGAAATCAGTAGTATAGTAAAAGTGGCTAGGAAAATGACCACTTTTAACCCCCCCCCCCCAAAAAATTCGGTGTGCCGTTGTACTTACCACTTTTAACCCCCATAGGGGTTAAAGCCTCTACTTTTTCGGGCACGCATGTTTTAAGGGGGGTTAAAATTGATAATTTTCCAGCCACTTTATGGAAACGGGAAAGGAATTAGGTTTTGGTTGGTGCATGTTTTCCCTTCTGAAGTTTGGGGGTATTGGCTTGTTTACATGTACAATGACGTTATATACCTATTATATGCAACCAAACTATATGGTATATAGGAAAGCCAATATTTTGGCAGCGTAGCTTAACTGTTGGCTGCGGTGAACGATTTCCTTCAAAAATGCATGTTTTATTGCTGAATCTCGAAGAAAGGAAAATTCGTCAAGTGCGGCGGCCGCCACCTCTATTTAGGCAAAAATGAATGATCTATTTGAACAAATAAAGAATTACTAACCCGAAAGTTGAGTTCGTCGAAGGATTGGTAATAATAATCATTATAAACAAATTAAAGAAAATAAGAAAGGGGGATGTTGAGGAAGGGGGCTAAAAAAATAAAATTTGGTAAAAAAAAATCTCTTCTTTATAAGAAGAGGTAAGAATAAATAGAGGCTGCTGGGCTGTCCATCAGCACCAGCAGATCAGAAGCCCTGTAGGCAATCCAACCCCCGAGGGTGACCACGTCCCTGAGTTGCTCAGAGAGGAGTTCCCACTCGGGCGACCCAGGGACGAAAGTCCGGGGAAGGGGTTTCCCCTAAGCCCACTGACGCGGTTTGACCCACAGCTCCTTCACCACTAGCACCTCAGGATCGGGCCCAGCCTTATATCTGACGTGAATTTCTTCAACAGGAATGTTTATGAGCACTAGTCCCCCGAAAGGGATTTTTACAGTTTCGATGTATGATGGCATCTAAAACAAGCAAATTAACATTTTAAATCACATGAAATTGTTCATCAAATAAAAATTTTTGGAACAGCAGGTTTCGGAAGGTGATAATTGTGCTAAATGTTTCCTAAATTTTCCCCGAGTTTAAAATACGCTTATCACGAAAACACAGACAGAATAAATTGTACTTTTAGCTGCGTGTTATTTTCAACCAGTTTAGAAATTTTGAGTTTGATTTGGAAACAAAAACTGGTAAAAACATTTGATTTGTCGAATAATACTCTTGAAATTGTCTAGATTTGACTTCTTGTTTGACTTTGTCACTAAGCTGATTGTAACAAAAATAAAGCGCATACTGAAAATTAATGTTTACTAAAATGTTAAAAATATATGAAAAAGGCTGATGGTCTAATTCAATGTATATCACCGAGTTGTAGGTATCAGCTGTTGGCATCTAAACGGTTACTTTTATTTCCACTGTTTTGAAATTCAGCAGGCTCAAAGAGTGTTGGAAAAAAATGAAATTGGAAAAACGTAGAGTTACCTCAACAGACTTGGAAATCATTCATGAGATTTATTTGACTGTGAAAAAAACCTATCCGGAAAATTCTGACCGTCGGAATTACTTTCTGGCTGCATGTTTTTTGTTTTTCTTTTCCAGTGAAAACGATTTAAATTATGACGTAGCTATTAAACTTAGGCCATATGGAGGTCTTATTGGCATAGACGACTCTTCCTTGGACAAATATTTAAAAGATTCAAAAATACTACGTCTGCATGCAATTTTACATGACGCTGCAGGTTTTGTTGACGAAGTTTACAACACGGGTCTCATTTACTGCTATATGTTACCCTGGAAGTGTAACAGCAGTCTGATTGGTCATTTGAGTGGTATTACTTTCTGTTTTTTCGTCAAACTAACCAGACCAGAACTCTATCAGTTATTAGAATGTTGAGCGAACGATCAGTCGTCATAGATTTGGAAGGATTTCACTATAAAAAAGTACCTTTATAGTTAAAGAAATAGTCATTACGACTTCTGAATATAGCGACTCTTATTTTTCTACCTCCAGTCCCTTTCAACTCACTACCCAAAGCTGAACAAAAAGCGTACAACTGGTTAACACAATACTTGCACGGAATTCACTGGGAAAGCGGAGATTATTTATATTTAAACCTAAATCAGATTATTGAAAGTTTTGTTTTGAAAAATCCTAACGCTGTATTTTACGCCAAAGGAAAAGAGATGGCTGAACTCCTTGCAAAGTACTTGTATCGAGAAGTTGTGAATCTTGATGAATTGGGTTGCCCGAGAATTGAAAACTTACATTTAAAGAATTATCCATCTTGCAATAGACATTTACAACCTAATTATAACTCTAGGAATCACTATTCCCTAAAAAAACGAAGGTCTTTTTTGATTGGCTGATAAATGAGCAACAACGAAAGACTAGCAAAAGCGGAGACGTACCTATCTCCAAATTTAGTGTTCTTGGCTTGGATGACACCAGAGAGTGATATCAAAATAACTTTGACCAGAACAGAACAAATCAATTGCCGAGGTCAAGTTGTGCAGCGGAAAGGACAAATTACTCTCTCAGGAGACGAAATGACTATTTTAAGAAATTTTTCCCCAGTGATTGACCGATTCATCTATTTTCAACGACACAAACAAGTTTAGTCAAAATGTTGGCCAACAAACGAGGAGTATGTCTTCCCAGGCTAGTCTTAGTGCCCAAACGTCAACCCGGAGTTCAAATGGATCTTCAAAGCAGTGACCTACCTGAGGAAGTTCAGAAACTAGTAAAAGAGAACTCTGTAAAGAAAGTTGTATTTCATGCAAAAACTGAATATGTGCCAGCCAATTATGTTGTGGAAATGCTGCTTGACAATGACAATGACATAACTAATGACTCTAAAAGTTATACTCGATACGAGATTTTTTATTGTTCTGAAGTATAGATAATACATATTTTATGACAAGAACACATTTATATAGATAAAGAAGAGTTAGAAAGAACCAGTTAGAGAGAGAAATATAAATCGAACAACTGAATGTCTGAATTAGCTATTAATGAGCCTGATGCTACTATAGTTACCAATTTTGCTTATGATCAAACAAACACTGAACAAAAATCTTTGAAGTTTTGTAATGATGTTACAGTCCCCAGATCAGAAGTAGTTTTTATGTCTCAAATGATTTTAATTTTCATTTTACTCACTTTTTGCATCTATAAATTTTCTTGGACGCAAATAAGCTGTGAAGAAACGTCAGTTTGGTTTTCAATATTGTCTGGTTTAGTTGGGTACGTGCTACCAAACCCAAGGATATGAATAAAAATAATTGATACGTCGACAAGACTGTTTATGGCAGTTGTAGGACCGTCAGGATCGGGAAAAACAGAGTTGATTTTCAAGGTATTGACAGGAAGATCATTTTATCCCAAATTTGAAAGAGTGTTATTTTTTTACAAAGATATTCAACCTGTACTTATGGACGAGTTAAACGCTCGCAGAATTCATATTGAATTTGTAAAATTTGACTGATTCGATCGTTTGAGAAACATTGAAAACATTCTGTTGGTGTTTGATGACTCATGCGAAGAAATATACAATGACAAAGAATTCGTTAAATTAGCAACAGCAGGAAGACACAGGGGCTTAGATGTTATTTATGTTAAACATAATTTATTCAAACAAAGCCGATGGTCCCGAGCTATTGATTTGAACACATCTCACATCATTTTATTCAAATCACCTCGTGATATTCAGCAACTTGATCACCTCGGAAGGCAACTAAATGCACCTAAATTCTTACGTCAATCGTATGAACTGGCTACAAAGGACAGCTTCGGACATCCATTAATAGATTTAGATCCCCGAACATCAGACTGTCTCAGATACTGTTCAAACATAATACCACCTGGTCCGTCAATTTTCTATTTACCTTTAGATAAAGCAGAAGTGACACCCATCACAAATGAACGCGAAAAAATTATTTATTCTGCAGCACATGGTACAGTTGAACCCAACTCAACTACGAGGCTTCATTAGAAAAAAAAACATCAAATAGTCAAATCATATCAGTTGTTTGTGAATGCTTGCTCAAAGTAGTCAACGGTAATGGGCCTGTCAGTATCCCAAACCTCAATAAATTCGAAACAGCATACAAAATTTTAATCAATCTAAAAACGAGTCCGGAAAAAAAACGAGCTATTATACTGAGCAAACAAGGATTTTATCTAATCAGACAAATACTTTATTTTTGCTTCAAATATTTGACTGCATAGAAATGGCAGCAGAAGAATTTGTTCTAATTCCAAAGCATATTTACATCAGAGATCAACCACATGCAGCACAGATTTTGCTTGACAACTCAATCAAACACAAGAAACCGCAACTATCATATTTGAACCGTTTGAGACCACTAAATGAATCAGCAAGAACAACAACATCAGCTATTGATACGCCAGCAGTCATTCCCACAACCCCTGAACCACCTATTGTTGCCAAAGCAGAAAACAATCCACAAAAACAAGCTCTCCCTCTCACTTCTCAAGACGATGATGATGATGATGATGATGATGATGAAGGTAACGAGATGGAAACAAGTGTTGAGCTTAGTGAGGCATTATCTAAAAAACGTATCCTGTTACAATTACAGCTCATGGACGAACACAAACTTAAGCGAGCAAAAAAAGTTCTTGAAGTTATTAAAAAGTCAGAGAGAGTCAAAATAAATAAAGATAATGAAGAAATTTACGTTGATAAAGTGCCAACAGTTCTTAAAGCATCAGTTTTTCTGTATGATATACAACAACAAACTAAAAAACTTTACAACCCTGCTTTTATACTGATTTTGAGGTCACTCAAACTTGATGAACGGTTGGTTATGAACAAGTATGCTAAAGT